CTCTCTCTCTCTCTCTCTCTCTCTCTCTCTCTCTCTCTCTCTCTCTCTCTCTCTCTCTCTCTCTCTCTCTCTCTCTCTCTTCTTGTTTTTTTTAACCTTTGGGTCAATCTTGGTAATACATATTTGTTTCCATTTCTAAAACATTCATAGAAAAGCTGCAGTTGATCTACACAAGATTTGACTGGATAAAAAACAAAACTTCGTACTGAATATATCATGATTATAACTCTTCTACAACTTTCTCGGTTACAGCGGTCTCAGGCGAAGGATTCCTAGCGAGGGATATAACAGTAGTGAATACAGCAGGACCGGAGAAGCACCAAGCGGTTGCATTACGTGTGAATGCAGATTTTGTTGCCTTATATCGATGTGTAATTGATGGTTACCAAGATACACTTTACACCCACTCTTTCCGACAATTCTACCGTGAATGTGATATATATGGAACTATTGATTATATATTTGGGAATGCAGCCGTGGTTTTTCAAGGCTGCAACATCGTTTCAAAGTTGCCTATGCCTGGACAATTCACAGTAGTTACAGCTCAATCACGAGATAGTCCAGACGAAGACACTGGGATCTCGATGCAGAATTGCTCAATCCTTGCAACCGAAGATTTATTTAACAGATCAGGTAGAGTGAAAAGCTTTTTGGGACGTCCATGGAGAGACTACTCGAGAACGGTCATAATGGAATCTTTTATTGATGAGTTTATCGACGGTTCGGGTTGGACCAAATGGAACAGTGGTAAAGAAATTGAAAACCTTTATTATGGCGAGTATAATAACAACGGGCCGGGTTCTGAAACAGGTAAGCGGGTCAACTGGTCGGGGTATCACACAATGGGTTACGATGATGCATTTAATTTTTCGGCAACTGAGTTTATCACCGGCGATGGTTGGTTAGGAAGTACTTCGTTCCCTTACGATGATGGAATTTAATGTCCTTCTTGTGACAAGTGTATGGAAATCAAACAACAAAAATAATATCAACAATCATAGCTTGAATTATTCTGAAAACCGATGTATTAACTATATAAGAGCATGTTTATTGCAGCAACTCATGTAGGGTTGCTTAAATTTCCTTTTTTTTTTAAGGTGACAAAAATATATTTTCTTGAAAATCTTGACCGTCTTTTTGTCTTAATATGACTTTCCACCAGTAAAGAAGGAAATACCCATGCGGTCGTGTCTTTTTACAACTTCCAACACATTAAACTAGAACAAAGTTGCCAAGTTGTATAACTTGTATTGTTTGCATTTATGAAGACGGTGAGATTTCTATTGAGTAACACCGATCATTTCAAGGTATGTTGATCTTGGTCCAGATTCAGATGACACCTATCCATATTTGCGTTAACCCAAACATTACGACTCACGTGTAAGTATCTAATCCGGTGGGCAATTGTAAGAAATAGTTATAAATTATCATATGCGTAACTTTTTGAACTTAATATGAGAAGTATTTTGATCATGATGCGTAACATCTCTTATATTAAAATACTATGATAAGATCCGCGTTTTACGCGAGATAAGATGATTAAATTTGTTGTGATATTAAAGATAAAAAGATATTAAATCTATTTTATTTAAATTTTTGTTAGGGTCAAAATTAGTTACGACGGAATTAACAACCAAAACTTTTCGCAAAGTTAAGAATAAGTTTTAAACACGAAAAAGCGTCAAGAAGAATCTAAGGATTCTCGGAACATAGCAATTCCTTAAGACAAACAATCGTCATCATGGATATCGTCGGAAAAACGAATAAAACAATCCGCGATTGTTTTATTGGCCAAGTTAACAAAAATGGCCGTAACGTCCAAACTTCCCGAGATATTAAAACTATTGTTAAGATCAGAATTAATACCTACGATTACTTCTCCTTACATTCTCCGAAACGATCTCGGGTCGAGAAAACAAGAAGAGATTGAAACCGAGCAACCATCCAGCTCGCCAACAAGCGAGCTGACCACACGTGTGACCAGCTCGCCCGTTGGCGAGCTGAACGCACTTGTCAAGCTCGCCAACGGGCGAGCTGACCGCACATGTGACCAGCTCGCCCATTGGCGAGCTGAACACATCTTTCCAGCTCGCCAACGGGCGAGCTAACCACACATATGACCAGCTCGCCCATTGGAGAGCTGAACACATCCACTACAGGAAAACACTTTTTTGCTGACCGATTTTGCTGACTGTATATGCAGTCGCCAAAATTACCGACTGATTCCTGACTGTGTCCATCTCACCAACGGGGGAGCTGACCAAACATGTAACCAGCTCGCCCATTGGCGAGCTGAACGCATCCACTACAGGAAAACACGTTTTTGCTGACTGATTTTGCTGACTGTATATGCAGTCGCCAAAATTACCGACTGATTCCTGACTGGTTAGCGACTTCTTTGCGACCATAATACAACAATCAGTAATCAGGCAGTAAATACCGACTGCAAGACATAGTAGCAACATAGTCGTATATTAGCGACTGATGCGCGACTAATACGAAGTCGGTAAATATCAGTCGTTTATCAGTCGCTAAATTAGCGACTGTTTAGTCACTGAAATATTTAGGGTTAAGTTCAGTCTCTAAAAACCGGTACAAAACACGTGAATGGCGTTGCTAGGTGGGTGTAACAACTTTTACGACTAAAAAAATCAGTCGGAAAAATCAGTCACCAAACAGTCAGCAAATGTTCATTATATATACCATCTCCGGACATTTTATCGTCTCAAGCGTGGAAGAAAGAAAAATTAAAAAGAAAAAACATTCGGTTATATAATGGGAGACAATTACAACAACACTAATTATCGAAATTGAATGTACAAGAGGATCAATGAAGAAACGGGGAACTTCTCGGAAGAATTCGTAGCAGGAGTAGAGCAATTCATGACATTTGCAAATAGTCAGTCTCTAGCACAAAGTAATCAGGATAAGTTCTTTTTCCCTTGCAGTGTTTGCCAAAACAAAAAAATTATCCCGGGACAACGAATTTTGAAACATATATATAGTAAAGGGTTTATGCTTGACTATTATGTGTAGTACAAGCATGGAGAAGAACTTGACATGGAATTAGGAACAAGTTACGTTGATCAGACGCATTTTAGTGGTAGTGAAAAAGTTGGTAATGTAGTAGAAGATAGATATGTGGAAATGGTGAATGATGCATTTCGTGTTAATGTGAGTTTTGATAACTATCAACATGATGATAGTTATCAAAATGTAGTAGATCCGGAATGTAACCATCGTAAGAAATTCTACGACTTGTTAGAAGGAGCAAAAAATCCTTTATATGATGGCTGTCGAGAAGGTCACTCGAAGTTATCATTAGCTTCTAGGATTATGCAAAATAAGGCAGATTTTAATTTGAGTGAAAAATGTGTGGATTTGGTATGCGAAATGTTGACAGACTATTTACCAGCTGGAAACCAATCAACCGGTTCACATTACGAGACAGAATGGTTGATGCGTAATTTAGGCCTCCCATACTATACAATTGATGTCTGTGTTAACAATTGTATGATCTACTAGAAAGAGGATGAAAGGTGGTATAAGTGTCAGTTTTGTGATGCACCAAGATGGAAGCCTAGAAGCGAACGTCATAGAACCAAAGTGCCATATAGTCGTATGTGGTATTTACCTATTGCTGACAGATTGAAGAGAATGTATCAGAGCAAGAAGACAGCAGCAGCGATGAGATGCCATGCGGAGCACCAAACAAGGGAGGGTGAAATGTGTCATCCGCAAGATGCGGCAGAGTGGAAACACTTTCAAGATCAACATCCCCGGTTTGCCGAGGAACCTCGTAATGTTTATCTCGACTTATGTACATATAGATTCAATCAATTTGGGATGGCTAATAATCATATGTTGTGGCCAGTGATCTTGACTCCATATAATCTACCCCCTGGCATGTGCATGGATACAAAGTACTTGTTTCTCAAAATTTTCAATTCTGGGCCAAATCACCCGTGAGCAAGTCTAGATATCTTCCTCAAACCCCTAATTCGGAGTTAAAAGAGTTGTGGTCTACTGAAGTTGAAGCATACGACGTTTCCTTGAATCAAAATTTTAATCTTAAAGTCGTGCTCCTGTGGACAATAAGCGAATTTTCCGGCATATGGCATGTTATCAGGATGGACGACTCATGGTAAGTTGTCTTGTCCAATTGGCATGGAAGATACAAAGGTTTTTTATCTTCCTAATGGAAGGAATACATGTTGGTTTGATTGTCATCGGATATTTCTTCCTCATGACCATCCACTGAGGAAGAACAAAAATGACTTCTTCAAGGGAAAACACGCTATGAATTATTTTCCACCCGAGTCTTTGACTGGTGAACAAGTTTATTCTGAGCGGTTAAAAGGTGTTAATCCACCTAAAACGTCCAGTGTGGTGGAAATCGCCACGAGAAGAAGAAACCTGGCTATGGGAAGAACCACAATTGGCACAAGGAAAGCATATTCTGGGAGCTTCCGTATTGGAGGGACCTCAATCTTCAACATAATCTTGATGTTATGCATATTAAGAAGAATTGTTTTGACAACATCATGAATACGGTCATGAGTGTGAAGGGTAAGTCGAAAGATACAATCAAGTCAAGATTGGATATATGATATCTTGCATATTTCATAGTTTGGATCATCCTTTTAATGTTCATTTCAATCACTTTAGCTGCATTTAGAGTCCCTTTAGGTGCATAGCATATGCATGTGTGGTATTTCAGATATGGAGAAGCTTAAGTTGAAGATTAGAGGGTTTAGTCAAGAGAAATAGGGTACACCAAGTCGTTTGAGATGGGCCAGTCCCGCGGACGGCACGCGGGCTACACCAGGCCGCGTTTTCCAACGAGTCATGCACCGCGGACAGGGCACGCGGGAAACGCCAGGCCGTGGAATTGAGCCCGAGAGATCAAGATGGGGAGCATCAGGCCGCGGACCATGGACGCGGGTAGGGCCAGGCTATGGTCGACTCCGAGATTAAGTTTCCCATCTGTTTCTTGGGTCAAACCCGGGTTTGATGGACTTACCCGGTCTAAGTTTTAAGTTACTATAAATACAATCTTGACCTAATTTTTAAGATATCTTCTTTTTCTCTCTAAGAACACATTAAAACCTTGAAGAAAGATTGAATCTTTAGTTTCTTTTCTTCTTATTCATTTGTGATTGTTTGATTAAACTTGCTTCTCAATATGATTTCTCTTAAATCAACCATGGGTTTAAGGTTAATCATGAAGATTAGCACTACAAGAAAACATGTCCTTTATTAGGACGGGTTTTCCTCGTTATTTCCTAGTAAACGGTACTTTACTAGGAAATAACGAGGAAACGCGTTTCGTCGAAAGACGTTCATCGTAAAGCATATTTTCCTCGTAATTTCCTAGCTAATTTACGAGGAAACATTTCCTCGTAAACGCGTGGATACGTTTTCCTCGTAAGGTCCACGTAGGCTTTCCTCGTAAGCTCATAGTAAACTATTTCCTCGTAATCTCGTAGTAGGATATTTACGAGGAACTTGCTAGGAAAGTTTACGAGGAGTTTACTTCGAAACCTTTACGAGGATTTTGCTTCGAAATAATTTTTTCCTATTTAAAAAAAATATTTATAAATTAAAAATTATATATATTAAAAAATTAAAAAACCAAATTATAAATAAAAAAAATAAATAACAAAATATTTATAAATAACTAAATAATATACAATTAATAAGTTTTAAAATTCATAATATACAATTAAAAACTAAAAAAACTAAAATGGATGCTGCTCTTGAAATTGGTGCACAAAGTCGTCGTCTCCAATGTTGGATGCCGGCTGTGACTGAGATGGTGGAGGCTGCTGGGGTGGAAGGGCTCCGCTCCCGTCTCTGACGCAACATCTCTGCCACTTGCGGGTTTCCAACTGCCATAATGTCGAGGATATCGGTGAGCGTACTCACATGAGACTGCGTC